AGAGAGAGAGAGAGAGAGAGAGAGAGGGAGGGAGAGAGAGAGAGCGAGTCATTAAATTGTGTTAAGTCTTTAAATGTTAAATGTTCCACTTGAAAACCGACTTTGTGAGTAGCCATGTCTTCTGACACAATGACCTTTGGATGACGTAAACACTTTGTGGACACGTCATACAAAATCTTTTCTGGCTAAGACAAATGTCTTGTAATGTACAGCAAAATTGAAAATATGGAAAGGCAGCAAAATACTGAGTTCTGAAGCAATCATCTCAATCAATAGATTTTAAAGGGTGTGGGGAGGGGGGGGGGCTTCGAAACTTTCAGAGCCTTTTCTTTTTCAAACTTTGGAAACATCGCATTGCATGTATGACAAATGAAACTCCCTCCTTTCTAATTTATTCCTTTTTAATATTCTTTATTTTTGTCGTGATCGTCTAATGTTCAGTCTACGTTGCCTCCTTGTACTACACACCCTTCCATCATGAAAAAAGCGGAACAAACAAAATCTTTTTGAAAAACGACTACTCCCTTTCCCAACGAAAAAGATCTATCAATCAATCAATCAAAAATACACAGAAATCACTTCTTTTTAACCTCCCGGCTGTTTTCGTTTCCTTGGCATTCTAAAACTTTAATTACGTCGATTTTTGTTTTTCTGTTCTGAAGCTGAAGAAATGAAATCCCCAATAATTCGAGTTTTTAAGTGAAACATGACACACCGTTTGTATCTATTATCCAGAAAACAAAACTAATTTTCTCGTCCTTTTGTGATTTTCATTTTCTGCCTATGTGGATATGCACGAAACTGAGAAATTTGAGATTTACATAGTAAGAAAATAATCGAGTTATGAGAAAGCCTGGATTCAAACCCATCAGTTTCGTCTTTCATCATATTAATCTTCTTTTTTTCTTTCGTTTTCCTTCTTTTTCTCAGGCTGATCAACTCACAGAAGAACAGATTGCCGGTGAGTTAAGAAAACAACATATTCGTCTGCCAAAGTAAGAGGCTCAAGAAAGAGAAACATTTTCCAAGAGAGAGACAGAGAGAGAGAGAGAGAGAGAGAGAGAGA